TCGATGAACTCAGCCTGGGATGGCGGCGGCGGCGGGATTCGTCCGAGAAGCGCGTAAACAACCTCTATCTGAGTCATCAAGAGCAGCCCGGGGCCGCAGCCCGCGCGGATCGCGTGGAGAGCAGAGCGCGCCATAACGGCGGCGAGTGTGGCACACTCGAGAAAAGTGAGTCCGAAATTTTCGGACAATTTGTTAGAGAAGAAGGCAAAAGCTTGTACCTCGGAAGACAATACCGAAGCCAGATCGAATCTGAGATTCACGCGGGATTGGCCTAGCGGGGCGGCGGCGGAGAATGACGGATTGTGAGGAGGACCACCGTAAGACGCCGCCGCTCTAACGATTCTTCTCAGGCAGAGTTGCCCCAAGTTAGGGTTTACTACAGAATAGCATTTGATGTCTGTGATTCGCGCGGTGGTCGCCGCCATATTTTCCGGCGTAGATTCCACGCGATGATCGATCGAATGGAATTGTGGATTTCATTGCCAGGCCTAGTCTTCTTATATATAGCCTATGGTGGGAGGCGGTGGATTTCAAATACGGAGTGGAGAGATTTGGAAATTTTATTGAAAGTTCAAGAAATAGTCGTTGATGGCTCTAAGTGGAATCGCAATTTTGGAAACTAATTTTATTTTTCAAAAAAACCAACAACCTTCATTCCATTAATTAATTTTGAAGCGCACCCCGCATATCTGCTATGCTCAAATACTCCCTCTTTTTATTTAGCTCCAATTGTAACCAAATTCTTTATCAATTTTGTCACTCATTTAAAAAAATAAATATGCTACTCTCTCCGTCCAGGAATGATATTCCCGGTTTGACTTTTCCTCATTTTTAAGAGGGTTTGAAAAGAACTATAGAATGACTAAAATACCCTTGTTTAAATAATGGGGGAAGGGGGTACTAACCTGGCCAAGAATGAAGAAATGGAATGCACTATTTATAATCATTACTTAATGTATGGGCCGGGTATGTTACATCAAATCACAACTTACATCACAAAAATATCCAAAATGAATTCACATTCCTTCCTAAATTTTTTATCACCCGCCCAAAAAAAGCTCTAAAACCCATTCAAAGGGTTATTACAACCATTTAAACCCCCCAAGGTCTTTCCTTTTTCAGCAACCCCTTCTCTTCTTCATCATGCTCTTCCTCTCCTCTTCTTTTTCATTCCCTTCTTCATTTCCTTTCTTTTTTTTCCTCTTTCATTCCCTTCCTTGCTGTGCAGCTTTTCCTTGCATATATAAACCATAATGAACATTGAGATTAACATGAAGAACTTGGACAACAACACAAGGCAACTCATTTGTGATGCACTACTATCACATTCAAAACAGAATCGAGATGAATCAATCTCAACTCAGTATGGGCAGATTACCAAACTTGCTTCAAACTTTAAAGTTTGTAGGAAAACTGTCAGTAAAATTTGGGCAATTGCAAAGAAATAATTAGAGCAGGGGGCTGCCATTGATGTGAGTAGCAAGATTGCAGGAAATAGTGGAAGAAAGAGGGCTGTTATGGATTTAAAAGTTGTTGCACACACTCCCCTCAGGAAGAGGACTAATCTGAGAGCATTAGCAGCAGCAATTGGGAAGCCTAAGTCAATAGTTCATGACTGGGTTAAAATAGGTATGCTTAGGAGTCATTCTAATGCTATCAAACCATACTTAACTGATGCAAATAAGATCACAAGGCTGAGGTTTTGTTTAGATCAGGTTGACCCTTACAACATGGGCAGTATGCCCAAGTTTAAAACATTTAACAATGTTTTACACATTGATGAGAAATGGTTATTTATGTCTAAAACTTCCTAGAGGTTTTACCTCCTTCCAGATGAAGTAGACCCTTACAGAGCATGTAAATAAAAAAGATTCATAGCCAAAGTCATGTTCTTATGTGTGGTTGGGAGACCACTTTTTGGGGAGAATGAAGAAGTGTTGTGGGATGGGAAAGTAGGGATATTTCATTTCACAAAAAGAGTCAAAGCTAAAAGGAACAGCAAGAAGAGGGCAAAGGGCCGGGGAAGTGGAGGTGAAAGCAATCACCAGTGTTACCAAAGAAATCACAAAAGATATGCTAATCAATAAAGTCATTCCAGCTATCCAAGAGAAATGGCCATCATAGTTATCCAAAGAAATACACATTCAGCAAGATAATGCAAGGCCACACATCCAAGGAATAGACTCGGACTTTGTGGCAGCAGATAACACCAATGGATTTCACATCACTCTACGTAATCAACCCCCCAACTCCCTGACCTAAATGTGTTGGTCCTTGGATTTTTCATAGCAATGTGCTCCAAACACAGTGACTGAATTGTTAGAGGCAGTGGAAGGAGCATATAGTTCTCTAAGGCTTGAAACCCTAAACAAGGTGTGGTTAAGTTATCAGCAAGTATTAACTAAAGTCATGGAACATGAAGGAGGTAACAACTACAGGCTGCCACATAAGGGGAAAGACAGTCTAGCCAGGGCAGGGAACCTTCCTAAGTCCTTGACCATAGACCTGTTAGTTATTTGGGTTAGTTACTAAGGGGGAGAACTAGTGTTTATTTTGTTTATTTTTTGTTGGCCTTATCCTTGTGACAAAAACAAATAAGTAGGAACAAATAAGTAGGAATGTTTGTTCGGTTTTTTGAGCTGCTTGGATGTAGAGTCCTGCCGTGTCATGCTTGGGTTTGAGTCTATCCCTACTAGTTGGCGAAGAATTCAAGTGTGGTTATAACTAGGGTTCTCATATGCTCATATATATATATATATATATATATATATATATATATATATATACATACACATATATGATCTCACGTTGGTGGAGGACGTGCAAGACAGAGAGAGAGATCACAAATCCAGAAATACATTGAGAGAGCCAAAACCCTTGTTGCAAAAAGGAGATCAGAAGGGAACCATGCCGGGATCCTTCTGATTTACGGTGCTGTGTTAAGCACAAGGAGTTCGTGACCTGGTTCATAGTTCATATCACATATTCAGGTTCGGTTTTGATGAAAAACCACATCCAGCTGGTGAACTAGGAAGGGCTGGAGAAAGGGCTGATAGCACGTCCAATAACAGAAGTTATCAAGGTTGGTGTAATATGCCATTGGGAGAAACACTAACAGAGTTATGTGTTTAAGTCATCTGTAATAGATTAGTTCAATCCACTAATTGGTACCTACGGTGGTTGAAGTTGTAATCTTTGCAGTGATTTAGTGGATGGGCTATTACACGGACGTGGGCCCCGCAGAGTAGGAGAATTGCTCCGAACTGCGTAAACAATTCTTGTGTCTGTTTTATTGTTTTTTATTCCTCTTGCTGCGTGTGACTGTTTGTGACAGAGGGTGTGTTTCAGCACTTTGTTTATCACAGCGATCGGAGCGTGTGTGTGGTTGACTAGAATTGTTTACAGAGAGTACTTCCTCCTGTGACTTAAGTCACTATAACAATTTCAATTGGTATCAGAGCCAGGTTAAGCTTAAGTTACTAGCTTGATCCATCAAGGGGGACATGGAGGAAGGTGCAAATGTCCAACGACCACCACTGTTGCGTGGACCAAATTACAATTTTTGGAAGGGGCGCATGAGAGCTTTCTTAAAGTCCCAAGGTGGGAGAGTTTGGAGAAGCATAGAAACTGGGTGGACAGAACCCACAGAGACCAACGCAGAAGGAGAGAAGGTGGCAAAATCCTTTGAGAAATACTCAAAGGAAGAGGCAACACTGGCTGAATGCAATGATAAGGCACTCAATGCACTATTTGGGGCAGTTGATAGCTCACAGTATCGACTCATTTCCAATTGCACTGAAGCAAAGAAGGCCTGGGAGATCCTTGAAACCACTCACGAAGGAGATGAACGAGTAAAAACTGCTAAACTACAGATTCTCATGACCAAATATGAGAATCTGCGCATGGATGATAAAGAAAAAATAGCAGAATTTCATGGGAGAGTAAGAGAACTGGCAAATGAGGCTGAAAATCTGAAAAGGCCTTTCACAGAAGATAGTCTGGTGTTGAAGGTATTGAGAGCTTTACCCGAGAGCTATGCAATGGATGCCAAAGCTATTCGCCAAGCACATGACATAAAGAACATGACACTGGATCAGCTGATGGGAAATCTTGAGACCATTGAGCTTCAGATGAACGAAGAAATTAACCAGAAGAAGAGTGTCAAACAGATTGCATTCCACAGCCACAATACTGAAGAAGAAGATGATGATGAGGATCCATCAGATGGAGATTATCAAGAACAATTATCCCTCATCACCAAGCAGTTCAAGAAGCAATGGATGCAGAAGAAAGGAAGAACAAATTATCAAGCTGAATCTTCAAAGGGGTTTCAATTTAGAAATCCAAGGCCAAAGGAGAGCAGGGTCCTAGCTGATGACTCCAAACGAAGAGGACCTCAATGCTTTGAATGTGGGGGATTTGGGCATATACAACCAGAATGTGCAAATAATCTCAAAAAGAAACGGCAAACTTTTGTGTCAACATGGAGCGATGAAGAAGATGACTCTGAAGAAGTCCGAGGGAACAACAGCTGTGCATTCACTACTCAAACACATAATGAAGATCCAGCCTCACTAACCGACTTGTGGTGCTGCAGGAAGAGTTGGATAGCCTTCGTAAAAAGCTTGATGAAACCATGCAACAACTGGAACAGATTGAAGGTGAAAAGGCAAATCTAAACTATGAACTCACTCAACTTAAAAGCTATCAAAAGTGGATGAAGAGTGCAGGTGCAGAACAGATTGAAGACCTCGTAGACAAGTCAAGGTTCTATGGAGACAGAACCGGCATTGGTCATACTCTACCAGAGAGCAGCAAAACACCCCTTGATTTGTTTGTACCAAGATCAAAGATTGCTGCTAAAGAACTAAAAGAGTACAACAGAGACAAGAAGGAAGCAGTCCAGCCTACTCACATTCATGTAAGGAAACAACCTTTCTCTAATTATTATTGGAATTATATTTGCTTCTACTGCAGGAAAAAGGGACATATTAAAAGACAGTGTCACCAGCTGAAGTACAAAAGAAGGAAGAAGGGTACGGCCAAAGGGTTCACCAGAACCATGATGAAGTGGGTACCAAAACATTTGGCCTCAAGCGCAAACTCATTCCTTCGAGTCACACCCGATCAATGGTTGCTCGACAGTGGGTGTTCTCATCACATGACTGGAGACAAACAAAACTTATCAAATATTCAACCCATAGAAGGAGGAAACGTACGGTTTGGAGGCGGTGCACATGGACAGATCATTGGGAATGGAACACTGCATGTCTCAGGGCTACCACCTATCAAAAATGTATGGTTGGTCCAAGGACTAGAGGTAAATCTGCTAAGTATTAGTCAAATCTGTGACCAAGGACTGGAAGTGGTATTCACTCAACAAAAGTGCCGCATCAAGGACAGAAACAAATTTGTTGTCTTGGAAGGTGACAGAACCACAGACAATTGTTACAGAGTCACTCCAAATATACTTTGCCACACAGCCAGTGAGAGGGATGCAAAATTATGGCACTATAGACTTGGACATATGAACTACAAGGACCTTAAGACCTTGTCTGGCTCTAGAGTAGTTCGAGGGATGCCCAAAATCACTCAAGTTAATGATCAAGTATGTGGACCATGTCAAATGGGGAAACAAACACGAGCAAGCCATCCTAAGAAACCTACAAGGTCAACAAGTCGTCTTTTGGAGCTCATGCATATTGATCTGTTCGGCCCCATGCAAACTGAAAGCCTAGGTGGGAAAAGATTTGTCCTCATGGTCGTGGATGACTTCACAAGGTATACGTGGGTCAGTTTTTTAAAACACAAAGATGATGCACAAAATGCCTTTGAAGCGCTATGTAACAAGGTCCAGAATGAGAAACAACTGAAGATTAATAAGGTCATCAGAGTACGCAGTGACCATGGAGGGGAGTTTGACAATGGGCCTTTCGAAGAATTTTGTGATCTGCATGGCATCTGGCATGAATTCTAAGCACCAAACACTCCACAACAAAATGGGGTGGCAGAAAGGAAAAATCGACATGTTCAAGAAATGGCGTGCACAATGATCAGCACATATGGACTACCACAAAATTTGTGGGCTGAAGCAGTTTATACAGCATGCTACACCATCAATCGTGTATACTTCAGGAGTGGAACAATGGCTACACCCTATGAACTGTGGAAAGGGAGAACACCAAGCATAGCCCACTTTCACATTTTCGGGGCAAGGTGTTACATCCTAAGAGACCGGGAGCAGAAAGGGAAGTTTGAGCCAAAGAGCGATGAGGTATTTTTGTTGGATACTCACCAAATAGCAAGGCTTATCGAGTATACAACAAATGAACAAGAACTATAATGGAGTCAATAAATGTTGTGGTAGATGACCAGCTCCAGCCCAAGGCAACAGATGACTCACTAGAGGTGGATATCTCTGAGAAAATGTCAGAAGAAGACACTGGGGATGAAGAAATTGAGAAAGGCGATTCTCCAGAGATCCAGTCTGATTGTCCCATAACCAGTAGTGTTCCCACACACATTCAGAAGAACCACCCTCCAGAAAACATCATAGGGTCACCCACCGAAGGGATGAAGACACGGAAAATGAAGATTGACTTCCTAGAGATGACAAAAGCTTACTATACATCATCCTTGGAGCCCAAAAACATCAAAGAAGCACTGACAGAAGAAGCATGGATAAACGCCATGCATGAGGAGCTAGAGCAGTTTGAAAGAAATAAAGTCTGGGAACTGGTTCCTAAACCAGAGAACACAAAACATCATTGGCATGAAGTGGATATATCGAAACAAAACAGATGAAGCAGGAAATGTCATCAGAAACAAGGCTCGCTTGGTTGCCCAAGGGTACACACAGATGGAGGGGATTGACTTTTTTTTTGAGGGGATTGACTTTGAGGAAACTTTCGCAGCAGTGGCTCGCCTTGAATCAATACGCCTGCTCATAAGCATGGCCTGCATATTAGACATGAAATTATATCAAATGGATGTCAAGACTGCATTTCTGAATGGATACCTAAAGGAAGAAGTGTATGTGTCACAACCAAAAGGATTCGAAGATTCCAAGCACCCAGACTACGTTTACAAATTACACAAGGCTCTATATGGGCTGAAGTAGGCACCTAGGGCATGGTACGAACGGTTAACTTCCTATCTAATCAAGGAAGGATATAAGAGAGGGGGAGCAAACAATACCATGTTCTATATATGGCACAAATCTGATTTACTGGTTGCACAGATTTATGTGGATGACATTGTGTTTGGATCCACCTCCAAAGCAAAGGTTGATGAATTTGTAAACGTGATGGAAAAAGAGTTTGAGATGAGCATGATAGGCAAATTGACCTTCTTCCTGGGGTTACAGATAAAACAAACTGATGAAGGAATATTCATTTCTCAGACCAAATATGCACAGAACATGTTGAAGAAATTTGAGATGAGTGACAGTAAGAGTGCTAGAACACCGTGTCCAACACACGAGAAAATCAGCAGGGATGACAATGGGAAGGAGATTGATGCTACACGCTACAGAGGCATCATAGGAAGTCTACTATATCTAACAGCAAGTAGACCAAATCTATGTTACAGTGTTGGAGTGTGTGCTAGATATCAAGCCAATCCCAAGGAGTCACATCTCAAAGCCGTCAAAAGAATACTAAAATATGTCAAAGGCACTCAAAACATGGGTTCATGGTACTCAAAAGGAGGAATGGCAGAGCTTATGGCCTATAGTGATGCAGACTGGGCAGGTAATATAGATGATAGAAAAAGCACATCAGGAGGTTGTTTCTTTCTAGGAGGAAATCTTGTAGCATGGTTGAGCAAGAAACAGAACTCTGTGTCACTCTCCACAGCAGAAGCAGAATACATAGCGGCAGGAAGTTGCTGTGCACAACTATTATGGATGAAGACCATACTTAGTGACTACGGTGTAGACCATGACACCATCCCGCTATACTGTGACAATACTAGTGCAATCAGCATATCCAAAAACCTAGTGCTGCACTCCCGAACCAAACACATTGACATCAAGCATCACTTTATACGCGAACTTGTGGAGAAAAAAATTGTGAGTTTGGAACACGTGTCCACAGAAGAGCAACTCGCTGATATATTCACCAAAGCACTTGATGGTGACAGGTTTGAGACACTCAAATCAAAATTGGGCCTATGTGTACCCTACTGTGTTAAAATAAAAGACCAACGCTAGAGGGGGGGGGGGGTGAATAGCGTTTGATCGTAGAAATCGCAGGATTTAAAAAAAATCAAAAGAGAAGTAAAGAGAAGAGTAAGAGGCACACCGAATTTTACCCTGGTTCACCACAACTTGTGGCTAATCCAGCCTCCCGAGAGACTCTCTCGAGCTACACTACTATCTCGTTAAGCTTGCGGGTGCTTAACAAACCGTTACAACTTGAGAGTTCGAGTCACACGAACCTCAACGAATCCTTCAAAGGAAACAGTCCTTCCTTTGAATCTACTGAGAGAAATACTTTCTCTCAAAGTGTCTAAGAACACGAATACACTCAAGAACGAGACTCTCTTATAGAGTAGATTTTGAGTAAACTAAGTGCGTTCAAGAACAACGCAACCTTCACACAAAAATGGCTCTAGAAAGCTATGGAAAGTGATGATATTTGAATGCAATGAAAGTATGAATGTTGTGAAGTGAATTGGTATGTAAAGCAGACCCAAACACCCCTTTTTATAGTGCCAAAATAGGCTCCAACGGACCAGTACATTAAAGGGGTGATTGGCTTGATTTATGGGATTGAAAAGATTTGGAATCTGCAAAATATTGGCTTCCCATCGATGTTTGGAACCTACCCATCGCTGGTAAGCCAATTTTCCTTCAGTTTTGAAGCCAACGGTCACCTACCCATCGATGGGTACAAGCTTCCCATCGCTGGGTGGGAGATTGACTTCCAAACAAGGAAAGAATCAACCTTAAATGACTTACAACGGTCATCCCTTCCCATTGATGGTATATCCTTACCATCGCTGGGTTCCCATCGATGTGATAGGTTTCCCATCGCTGGGCAAGGTCGTTCTGCCTTGTGATAATTTTGCACCAAGGCTTGAACAGCGATGGGTAGAACTTCCCATCGCTGTTTGGCATGGTTCTGGAAATTGGTTTGGCTAAGGGACCGCTTACCCATCGATGGGAAGACCTTCCCATCGCTGGGTGGGTGGTTAGTCAAGAACCCATGGTTTTTGCCTTAACCACGGCCTAGCCAACCGATGCAAAAACCGACCGAAAAATCCAAAGTTCTCAAAAATAAAAACCAAGTGTTTAAAACACTTATTTGATGTATTTGGCTAAGAAATTAAGTAAGACACTTTAAAAAACACGTCATTTGAGTGAAAACCACGGCTAGCCAAGTTCATGTCGTTTTGAATGATTTTTGTCAAACGACCAAAAGCGAAAGATGGTTTTCAAAGTGTTTTTGTTGGAGAACCGTTTAATCATGCCAAAGAGTGAAAACCAGTCATAAAAAAATGAAAACCACTCGGTTGGTTCGGACGCCAAAAACCATAGCCGATAACCGAGAGCCGAACGCCGGTTTCTGAAACCCGAACGCTGGATGGCTTGGTTTTTGGTTTTGGGCGAACACCAAGTGTTTTTAATGACATAAACAAGTTTGAAAAACATTTTTATGATGTAAGAAATGCAGTGAAAGGTTTTAGCCTAAAGAGCCAATGCGTGAGGGTTGGGTCGGTCTTGATTACAGTTATGACCGACTCAACGATACTAAAGACTGCGGTCTTCGTTCTTGGTCTCTTTTAGCTCTTGTTCTTTATCTTCGTTCTTCGCCTTGTATATTCAATGTTTGTCTTGATCATGGCGGTTTGGCATTATCAAAACCTGTTACAAAAAAAACGAACACGGCTTTAGTACGAAAACGTGACAAGCCCGTGTTTCAACAATTTCCCCCTTTTTAATAATGGCAAACGAGATGAGGTTATGCATATAAGGAAGGCTTTGAGACTTAAAAAAATCGTTCCCCCTTAATAGATGCCATTTTATTTGAAAAGAAATTCCCCCTCAATTTATGCATAACCTTGATATCTTCCCCCTTTTGACATTAACAAAAAGAAATAAAAGTGAGCTTTAGGAATTAAAGGTAAACTTTTATTCATTAAAAGATGAGAAAATGCTGAATACAACGGAATTGAAAAAAAAAATTGCAATCAAAGTAGGGAAAGGAGAGAGAGAAGAGTCTAGGCAGCGGCATCCTCGTCCTCGGTGTCATCATCTTCGTTCTCGTCATCCTCGTCGTCCTCGACGTCCATGGGATTCCCGTCGACCGCGTCCTCAAAGTCGGCCTCTTCGGGGGAGGAAGACGGAGCATGGGAGTCATCCTCCTCGTCCTCGCCTTCATAGTTCTGGCCGAGGATGGTGCTGTCAAAGGGTGGCGGGACGTAGTTGATGCCACTGAAGTAAGCCATCATGTCGTGGTGTTGGCGTTGCAACGTCTAGTCCATTCGCTCGATTGACTGCCCCATGCCATCCACTGTGAGGGTTAGCCAGTTTAGAGTATCGGCTATGGGTTGCAACGAGGCTCGGGCGGGAGCGGGGGCAGGGGCACGGGCACGACTCGGTCCGGCGCCGCCTTGGTCTCCGGACTTCTTTCGGAAGGTGCTATCTTGGATGATCCACAGCTTTGTCATCTTCGTGTCTGGGCCGACGATGAGATCCATGATGAGAAAGGCGTATGGCAAGCTCCGCTCGTTGGTGATGGAGGCGCAATCCGCCATGTGAATCATGACGTATTTTGCCCAATTGATTGAGGCGCCATGGGTGATAGCATGAACGGCCTTGAGATCCTCGTTGAAGAGGCACGTGTGGCTGCCGTCCCGGGGGCGAAGAATCCGGGTGAGGATATAGAGTAGAAGACGCTTCTCCGGCGGGGCTGAGTGAATGGTTGTTGTGCCGCTGTGACGGACGAGGTTGGTGATTCCCAGCTCTCGGATGACCACCGACTCTTTGAGTTGATTGTCGAGGTCGTGGTACCCCTTTTGTTGAGGGTATCTCTCCGGCAGCACCCTTGGCGGAGAGATGGGGCGCTTGGAGAAGTGGGTGATGAAGCGAGAGAGTTCCTCTTCCGACCCGAACTCAAGAAACGAGCCGTCCAGGTATGGGAAGGGTTGAGGCGCAGAGGTCGTAGCCTCGGCGGCGATCTTCTTCTTGGAGGCCTTGCTCTTGGACTTTCCTCCGGCCATGACAGCGTTTCTTACGAAAAAGTGATGGAAAGAGTGTAATTTGCTAAAGGAATGAGAAAGTGGTGTTAATTGTGTGTTAAGAATGTAAGGAATGATGTGAATATATAGGGAGAGAAAGATGAAACCGTTTGGATTCAAAAAATATGGCTGTTGGGCAATAAATTTGGTGCCCAACGGCCATAATTTTTGAATTTCAACTGCTGTCCCATCGATGGGAGGGTCGCTACTGGAAAGCGAGAAGAAAAACGAGGCTGCCTTCCTAGCGATGGTAAAGGTTACCCATCGATGGGAAGGTGGCTACTGGAAATCCGATAAAACCTTTAAAAAAAAAAAGTGACAAACACCCAGCGATGGGAGGAAGTCCCCATCGATGGGTAGGTAGGTTCTGGAAAAATATTTGAAGCTGAAATCACTCACCCAGCGATGGGATAAAGGACCCATCGATGGGTAGGGTGTTTCTGAATTTTTTTTTTTGACAAAAGTCCTTCACCCAGCGATGGGAAGACATACCCATCGATGGGTAAGGTGTTTCTGGAAATCCGTTAAGAATCTCTTAAAAAAATAGAGTCAATTACCCATCGATGGGAAGAAGCACCCATCGATGGGAAGAGGGGTTCTGAAAAAAACAACTTCCCTCCCAGCGATGGTATGGCCTGCCCATCGCTGGTTCCCCCTGATTTCTAGAATTCTTCACTTCGAACCGTCCCTGCAAAAAAGAGTTAGAAAACCCTCCGACGCTCAAGTTAGCAAACATGCAAACGAAGATAAAAGAATGATAAGATGCAAAAATTAGATCATCGTGGAGTCAAGGATTCCGATTTCACTACGAATGCGGAAGAACGACTCTTTCTCTAAAGGTTTTGTGAAAATGTCGGCTAATTGGTTGTGTGTTTCAACAAACTCGATTTCGACATCACCTTTGAGAACATGATCTCTAATGAAATGGTGCCTAATGTCAATGTGTTTCGTTCTTGAATGAAGAATGGGGTTCTTCGTCAAGCTAATGGCGCTAGTATTGTCACAACGAAGAGGAACGTGAACGATACTAAGGCCATAGTCCACAAGTTGTTGCTTCATCCAAAGGATTTGAGCACAACAACTACCGGCGGCTACATATTCCGCTTCGGTTGTGGATAACGCAACACTGACTTGTTTCTTGCTAAACCATGAAACTAAAGAGCTACCAAGTAAGTGGCAAGTCCCACTCGTACTTTTACAGTCCAATTTGCAACCGGAAAAGTCCGAGTCGGAGTAACCAACAAGAAGACACGAAGAGCCTTTAGGATACCACAGTCCAACGTTAACCGTTCCTACAAGGTATTTCATGATCCGTTTCACCGCCGTTAAGTGCGATTCCTTCGGGCATGATTGATACCTTGCGCAAAGGCATACGCTAAACATGATATCCGGCCTACTAGCGGTAAGATAAAGAAGGGATCCGATCATACCTCGATACTTTTTGACCTCTACTTCTTTACCTTTCTCGTCTTTGTCAAGATGGTCAGACGTGCTCATCGGGGTCGCCATGGCTTTGGCGTTTTCCATTTCGAATCGTTTTAGGAGCTCCTTGCAATATTTGGTTTGGCAAATGAACGTGCCATCTTTCATTTGCTTGACTTGAAGTCCTAAAAAGAATGTAAGCTCACCCATCATGGACATCTCAAATTCGTTTGTCATTAAAGTTGAGAATTCCTTGCAGAAAGACTCGTTAGTAGCACCGAATATAATATCGTCTACATAAACTTGAACCAAAAGGATATTATTGTTTTTACTCTTGATAAAAAGTGTAGTGTCTACCTTTCCCCGTTGGAAACCACTATCCAAAAGAAATTTACTCAAACGTTCGTACCAAGCACAGGGTGCTTGTTTAAGACCGTAGAGCACTTTCTTGAGTTTGAAGACATGGTCGGGAAACTCAAAGTCTTCAAACCCCGAGGGCTGGTCAACATACACTTCCTCTTGAATAAAACCATTGAGGAAGACACTCTTAACATCCTTGATAAAGTTTAAAATCCATGGACGAAGCAAAAGCAAGAAGTAAACGAATAGCTTCTAAGCGTGCTACAGGTGCATAAGTTTCTTCGAAATCAATGCCTTCTTCTTGATTGTAGCCTTTAGCTACGAGCCTAGCTTTGTTTCTAGTGATTATTCCATTTTCATCGAGTTTGTTACGGAACACCCATTTCGTACCAATAACCGTACGATCATCGGGTCTTGGCTCCAATTCCCAAACGTCATTTCGTTTGAATTGGTTTAGCTCCTCTTGCATAGCCAAGGTCCAATGTTCATCGTTTATTGCTTCGGAAATGGTTGTAGGTTCAATTTGAGAAACAAAAGCCATGTGACCTACGGTGTCCCTAAGAGAGTTACGAGCACTTACCCCGCGGTTGATGCTACCGATTACCTGGTCAAGCGGATGGTTTTTGTTTGTTCTCCATGCTATGGGAAGCTCAGTTGCTTCTTCTTCTTCTTCGTGTTCCGCTTGTTCTTATTCTTCCTCTTGTCTTTCTTCATCACCTTGGTTAGCTTCTTGAGGTATTTCCTCAGTTTGTGGCTGTGTGTTGGTGTAAATTCCCGTGTTCTCCTCATCGTCATCAACGTGTATTCTCTCTAATGAATCTGCAAGATCATCACAAATATCCTTTCTCGCCAAGCGAGGGTTATCTTCGGAAAATACAATGTGAGGAGACTCCTC